CACTGCCACGGATCCCAGGACAGGGCCCACAGCATCGCGGGGAGGGAGGCAGAAGCACTCCAACCCGTCTGCAAGTGCACCCAAGGGCTTCATTCAGGGACCCCCTCCAAAACCTGCGCACTTTATCAGAGTCGCCACTCCCACAATCCCGAGCTTTTGGAACTGGCCTGGACAGGAAAGCTGGTTTCCTTTTAAAAAATACATATTAACGACATTTCCCACGTCAGAGTGAAAAGATTAAGCCTGAGGCCAGTTTGACAGATCCAGCAGCCCACAAGCCGCCCGCACTGCGGGAGGGGCTCTCCCAAGGGCGAGGCAGGTCCCACTGCTGGCCTCCTCCTGACCCGCTCTTGGGGGAGGGCGCTGAACTGTCCCAGGAGATGGGTTAAGAGGGTTAAAAGGGTGGTTTGGGGCACAGCTGCAGACCTGGCGCTCCTCAGCTCACCCCACCCCATTCTGTTTACTGCTCCCAAGGCCAACAACGCACTGGCTGTGTGAAGGGCACATCTTGTGCACTTGAACTTCTCTCCCGGTGTGAAGTCTGGTTGTGTTCCTACATATTTTAGCCCCAGGCCTGAGCAATGGCAGCTGTAGGATCTCACCACAGGGCACTTCCTGCTGCTGGGGCACCGTGGGGAGCACACACCTCACTGCCAATCAGAGCCACCCGGAACCCCTCCACGTCAGTGCATCATGGGAGACAAGGGTCTGACCGGGTGGTCCTGTGGTTCGATCTCCTACCGAAAAATCGGGGATGAGTGTGAGCAGGGAGCGGTCAGGAGAGAGCCAGGCCACGTGAGGGGTCCACAGGCTGGGGGAAGGACTCCTGCTCCGGACCTCCAGTCCCAGGGCCCAGACTGGCCTCACCTACCAGGTCCTTCAGTGGGATTGGGCTGGGCCCACCAGCACAACAGGGTTCACGCGCATTTGTGAAACACGTGAGTTGGTCAGGACAGGTTTTCAGGATACCTCTGCACCCGTCCCAAGCTGCCAGGTGGCTATATGAAGCATGGACCCAACGTTTAACCTTGAACAACACTGGGCTTTCCCGCCTCGGCTTCCAGAAAGCCAGGATTTCTCGGTGGTGTCCACAGCAGTGGGCAGTGTCGACTGCTGAAGGAGAAAGGGTTCGGTTCGCAAGCTGTGACTCACGTCGGAAAAGGAGAGCGCAATAGACACACCAGGTGATGTGTGTCTGATCCTGGGTTCCTGTTACCCCAGCTGCTGCTCCCTGCCCCCCGCTGCTCTGTTTGTCGGGCTCTGTGGAACTTCCATTGCTGACTTGGACTCTGACCACTAGGAGGCCAGTTGCTGTAAATACACTGTGTCGTTCTTTTCTCCATGGTTTTCTGGGGTTTTATTGTTCACCAGCTGCTTTTCCTATTGAGGGAAATAACCAGAACGTCTCTGACACGAGGCTGTGCACCAGGACAAGGGCCTGAAGTCCAGCTTGGGGTCCCCTTGAAGGGGGTCCTGAGCTACCCTTTCCTCTTTCCCTATTTCCCATTTCGGACCAGATCTTCAGTCCTACAAACTTGACTCTGACCCTACTCCCTTCTCTATCTCCGACCCCCCAAGAAAAAGACCACAGACTCACACATTTAATTTGTGGGGTGTCTCCACAACTCTTAAATGATTTGTGCACAAGTCCTGAATGAGCTACAGACTGCATCACCTCCTCCCAAGTCAAGACCATACTCACGCCCAGCGCATGGCTGTATCTGGACGGGTCAGGCCTGCTCTCCGGTCCCAGGGCAGAGAGAAGGGTGGCGGCTTCCATGTGGAAAGTGGGGTCAGAACAAGGAAGGGAACATGGATGTGTCTCCAAGTCCCTGAAGGCCTTTTATGCAGGTCCAAGAAACTTATGTCAAAGTCGCCACAGACCAACAAAAGGAGACGGACAAGTTTAATTCCACGTTTACCGCGTGCAGTCAAAGCTTTGTGTGAAATCATGCCTTTCTGGGAAGGATGTGTTTGTGTGTCCTTTGCCAGATCCCCTCCCATCACTTGTGAACAGCGGGCAGAGCCCCGGGCCCTAGGTGACCCCAGCCCGAGTGGTGATCTGATGGTTCCTTTTGCTGGGCTGGTATGTCCTTCCTTTCCCACCTGCTGTCCTTGTGTAACACGTACGCTGACCCTTTCCTCCCCCCCTCCCCTGGGAAAACACAATGAATAAATGCTTACTGGTACTGAGGGGGGTAAAAATAAATTACATTTTATAACTGATGGATCTTAAGCTATCTGGCTAAACTGGGTTTCCTATATGGGAAGTCATACCGTGCAGTTTTATTTCTTCCTTTTCCATCCTTATTCTTTAAACCCCCCTCCCCCCGGTTCTTGCCTTCTGTGTAGCCAGGAAAGCCCATGCCACACTGAAGAGAAACGGTAACGGGGAGGCTGAAGATATGTGGGTCCAACAGAAGCCCCGAGCCGGGCCGGTGAACACACGTGAGCCCCTTGGAACACATACCTATGCAAACATCGGACACCCAAAATCCCACAGGCAAGCTTTGTCTACTCCCCAAAACGCAACTCTACTTAGTTGTGTCACCGAGGCCCCATCCCCAAGGGCACAACGTGAGAAGCCAGCCGTGGCTCAACACCACAGAGAGCGGTTCTTGCCGACACGGGAGACGACCAGACAGCAATGGAAGTCCTCCAATTACAGCTGTGTCACCACATCAGACTCTCAGGACCCGGCCGGGTCAAAATGGACAGCTGTGCAACGTGCACGAGGAGCTGTGCCCCACAGATGCAAAGGGTTCCATGTGGAGGTGCCGTGGCATGGACTCGCCACGGGTTACACAGGCAGCACCTTTCCTTTCCATGGACACACCATGCGTCGTCGCCCATGTTATTAGAGGTAAATGTGGTGAGTGCCAAGGGCTCCTGGCCAAGAGGGTGCTGGCCTCAGCCTCAGCAAATGGGGTGCAAACTAGGTGGTAAGCAGTCGCTCCCCAAGCAGACAGCTGCTGTGCAGCAGGGCCCCGGGAGTCACAACAACCAAGCTCCTACCTGTGTCCTTGGGGAGGTTCTGTGGCCACTGTTGCCTCACTGTCCTCATTCGTGACACGAGGCTGATGAGTCCTACTGCACAGGACTGTTGTGGGGGGCAGATCTCACCAGCCAGGCACCACACCGCCATCACCTGGGTGGTGTCCCAGACGACTCTGAATTACAGACTACCAAACAAGGCACCGCTGAGCGTCGCACCTTCCCCTGCGACGCCATCGGCACCGCCAGGACTCAGCGTAAAGACAAGGGGAGCAGAGTTGCTTGCCGTCCCTTGATAGCGACCAAGTGCTCTGCATGCACCCAGCACGCGTGACGCAGGAGGCTGGTCAGGACCAACGCCAGTGCCGTCTGGGCAAAGCGGCAGCATCCCACGTCCTCCTTCAGAGGACCCAGCTTGGTCATGGTCAGGAGGGGGGCACAGGCACCACCAGTTATGGGCTCTGCTTCCCCGGGTGGAACCTAAAACACAGAACCCACCAAGTGTGCACCTAAAACAGGACCGAACGTGGCCTACATGTGGGCAATGGCCGAGGGGAGCAGGTCCACTTCCAGAATCCTGGTGGGTTCCCAGGACCGTAGAGAAGGGGCATGGCAAGACCGAGAGAGGAAGCGACGCTTCAGAGCCTAAAGCAGGGGCTCCGGACACGAAACAGTGTTGCGCCCTGGGCATCTAGCGACTCTGCAGACATTTCTGCTCCTCCCAACCTGGGGCACTGTGCTCTGTGCAGAGGGCAGCAAGTGACAGTGGTACTGAGGCTGAGAAACCCTGTTGTGAACCCAGCCTCACCGGTTCCTACCCTGAGAGGGGTTGGCGGGCTTTGTCCCTTCTCTGCCTCGGGGCCCCAGCTTGATGCTGCTCCCGGACACAGCATGGCTGTGGAGTTAGGAGGTTTTATCCGACTGCCAGCACCAGGTCGCCCCACCTGGAAGCACAGCCCCAGTCACCTCGCTCTACTCGTCTCCACCTTCAAAGCGGGGTCTGAGGAGCCTGCCCTTTGCCGAGGGTCGCCGGAGGGAAGCACTCTGGCTGGGTCCTCTGCTAACCTCGCACAGGGGACAACAGGGGCCAGCAAGTTTTCACCCCATGTGCCATGTCTCTGGTCCCATGAAACACAGGATGGGATGCAATGGGCACGGACACCGCAGGACCATCCGTGACGCTGTCGCACCTGCTGCCAGAGACACTTTGTGCTGCATAACTGAAGTGTTTCTAGCAGCAGCAGATAACGTGCATCTGTGGGGGAGCAGCTCTGCGGACAAATGTACCTGCAGCAAAGCACCAACAGCCCCTGGGGAAAGTGCCGCAGGGGCTTCTGGTCCCAGGGGGGGCCTCCTTCAGACCAATGCTCTGCTCCCCAGGGCCCCCACACTCAGGAGCAGCACAGACGCGCCTGCCTCCTGCTCAGTGTCCTCACAACTGAACCCCTCCTCCCCCACAAAACCCCTCTTGCTCCATTAGCAGAACTGTTTTATTAAAGTCCAGAGAATTCTAAAAGTTAGACTCTGAAATCAGAATGGGCGCCCTTGATACCAGGCACCCTTATGCCCGGGGAGGAGGTGGGGTGGGGTTCAGGGACAGAATTGGGACAGTAATTGAGCTGGAAGGGGTTGCAGAAGTAGCTGAGTTCAAACCCCTTGTTTCATGAAGAAAAGTTTGAAGGGACTCCCCAAAGCTGTGAACAAAGCATGCAACCATGGCACACACGACGATCGGCAGTGCTGGAAAACCCAAGTTCACAAGAACCCCGAGTTCAAGGCCACTACTGCATAAAGCGAGACTAAGCAAAGAGCATACAGTGCCGTTGCCTTCTGCTCAGTTGAGGCCCTCTGCAGGCCTCTCCGACAGGCTCTGAAGACCCCATGGCCGGGGCCAGGCCAGGCACACTCCCCTCCCTCTCCCCAAATAGACCAGAGGTCTCCACTCATGACACGCTGTCCCTCATCAAACACAACCTTGGTGTCTTTTTAACAGGTAAAGGCCATACCTCCTCCCTGCATCATTTTGTAGATTTTGCTCTCAATGTGGAGCTGAGGGTGTTTGGTTTTGACACATTCAAGCTTGATGGCAACTTCTTCTCCTGCAGCAATGTCCGTACCTTGGCAAAGAAAGAAAAGCACAGCATTAGTGACCATGTGTCCACACCTAGCCCCATCACAGCATGCCGGGAGACAGGGCACCGTTTGACTCTCCCAAGAAGGACCAAATGATGAGTGCGCTCCACTTCATGTTATAAGATGGTGTCAGTGGTCAACAAATCCCCGTGGACAATTATCCATATTTTCACTTTTTAAAATAGGAAGTATTTGATATGCATAGAAAAGTCCAATTTGGTATCCCATCAGCCACTTCCACATGTGCCCACTCAGGTCACATCACTAGGGGACCCAGAGAGAGGCCAACGCAGTCCTTTCCACAGCCTTCCATCTCTTTCAGTCTGAACCTTCTGCCCACCCTGGGGGTCGGGGTCGGCCCCAGCATGACTCGTGTTCCTGGGACATGTTCTGTGGGGTCCCCTTTTTGCCCCAGTGCCTTTATCGGACTTTCTTTTGAGGGAGGGCTGGGTTTTTACCCAACACCCACCTAGCTTCAGTCTCCCAGCCAGGGTGCACGGCCGCATACATGTCCCAGCGGTCGGGCACTTCTCCAGAGGGTGCAACTCGCACAAGGCAGCAGCAGTCACCGCTGACCCATCGCAGGCCGGCCAGGGGGCACCCAGGGAGGCTCAGTGAGCCTTCTCGTTCCTGGGCCCCAGGGAATCACTGCATTACTGACACTAGGCCAGGAGCGGGGACTCTGTTTTCAAAGCCCTAACTACACCTATGCAACACACCTGTCACACACCTTCTGTTAGTTTTGTGAAGAAACTGGCAATACATCTGCTAATACCTTGCGATTATTGGCCCATGAGTTTACAGCTGAAATTAAGTTTCTACCAAAAACGTTACACCTCTGATTTACTCCAATGAGGAACTGCAAATGTGACAACTACCACCCCGCAGGCGTCACACACAGATGCTCCTGAGTTCCAACCTGACCTGAAGCTGCCTGCAGACCTCCCTCAAAGAGCTTCAACTGCAGAGAACAGAAGTCTCATGCAGCACACACCCAGCTCTCCGTCCCTCTAAGTATAAACGTTCTACTCCCTTCCCCCACCATAGCATGGTTATTAGTGAGAAAACTACCACCGGCTCCAGCAGCCGACAGGACCCATGACACCTCCCTCCCTGGGAGACTGGTGTTGGGCAGCACCTGGCCAGTCCCAGTAACTCGTTTGTCTCACCATCTAAGTTTGGCGGGGAGATCTGCAGTGTGTGTCACAAGGGAGTTGTGAAGATGGGCAGGTTAAGGTTGTGAAGCACCGTGAGGTTCCCAGACAAGAGGCAGGCGAGGTCAGCAAGCCTCCGAACAATGACCCACTGCAGGACAGCTGTCCATTGATATCCACACCCAGGAACCCCAAAAAACAGTCTCCTCTAGTCTGCTCAGACAGCTGCACGAGATGCGGCCACTTCGCAAGCCTGGACCCAACCAAACCTGGTCCCCCGTGCCATGTCCCATGGGAATAACTGCCACCTGGTCCCTGCCAGTGACCACTCCAGGGTTAAGAGCTTCATATCCCATTCCAGAGACAGACAGGTAACACGTTCTATTCTTCCTGCCTGCAGTTGGGAGGATCTATCCAATTACAAGAGAGATGACTTCACCGTAAAATTTACTGTGCAAATGAAAAATGAATGCAGAGTTCCTGTGAGGACCTGGAACTCTGAACTGAACTCGCCAGTCCAGGAGGAAAGGATGACTCATCCTACTAGTGACATCAGCAACGCCACACGCCCCACAGCCTGAGCAGCACAGCCTCTGGTGAGAGCACTCGCTCCTCCAACTATGTCAACCCTGTCCCCCTAGCTAGCCAGGACACCGGTCCTCAATGAACCAACAGCCTGGGCTAGCTCCTGCAAGAAGGCGTCCACTGCGGCTGATAAAGCTAACACAGATCACCTACCCCTGCAAAACTGACAGCCTGTGGGGCAAATGATCACAGGCAACTCCAGATACAATATGAATTCCTTCCTCCTATCATGGTGCCAGCTCTCCCCCAGGATGATACCAGCAACCAGCCAGCCTCCCCCAGGATCAGACCCACAAAGGTCACCCTGAGTCTGACGGCTCAAGATGACGCTGGACATGGGCTCTGCCACAGGAACCTGAGAGCAGCACACACTGGGCTGCCTCCCCTGGGAGGCCTCCACCCACTGGGCACACGTACCAAGAAGCAGGGCCTCAGGGTCTGTGCGTTCCAGAGGCCACTGAGCAAAACTGAGGCTCACCAGTCTGCAGTCCCGCAGCCCTGTCCCACTCTCACTGCTGACAGCGGCCCCGTGGTCCAAGGACAGTGTTGTTCCTAGTCCTCAAACTGCCACCAGTCCAGGAGGGGACACATATAAGACAGCGAGGAAGCACCAAAGAGCTCAGAGAGCAACGTGACACTGCTGCAACACTTTCATCTTATTTTGCAAAAGCATCAGTCTGCGACAGACCGGGAATCACAGAGCCTGGTGCGTCAGCACAGTAACCTTTAGAAGCACTGGGAGATGGGGACGGAATTTAAAGATACCACTGAGCTCGGTTCCAGATTCAGAACAAGTCAAAACCAAGTGGCATGTAAGCATTTCTTCAGTGTCTGCTGACTCTAAGACGTTCGATCTCCCCAACACCCTCAACTTGCGTGCAGCTCACAGCCCCAGGGAGACAGAAGTTACCCTCCCTGGGCAGATGGGAGTCTGGGTCTCGACAGAGGTCAGTGCTATCCTAGGAAAACAAACTATGTCCCTCGAGCTGACAGACAAGGCAGATGGCAAAGCCAATGAACCTAACCCCAAGCCTGACCCTGCCATGGGACAGGAAGGTAACACCCATCAAGGAATGACAACCACAAAGCAACAGGGAAAGGCCTCCGAGCAGCAGGGCAAAGGTCACCCGCAGGACAACTGTTGACAAGGCAGCTGACCAGGGAGCTGCAGTGAGTGTAGGTGGCTGCTTTCCCCTTCTGACCGGCCGGCCAGCCAGCCACCACTTTGGAACCCCAACTATGTGTCCGATACCCCGCTGGGTGTCACTGAAGAGCAATGACTGCCAGCGAGTCCATGAAGCCATGAAAATCAAGTATGAAGGCGTTCCTATGCTTTAGCTCCCAGAAAAGGGGTACATGCACATAATGAAGTAAGACCATAGTCCGTCTGGGTGACAGGCAGACAGACAAGGCTATCCTCTGACAAACTGAAGGGGCGTCAAGATCAAGTACAAATGCCAACAGCAGGCAGGAAGAAAACCTCCATTCTGACCAATCACGAATGCGGGGGTCCAAGGACCGGCTGACAGACGCAGACCAGAACAGAGCTCCCTGAGAATGGAGGCGCACACTGCCCCTCAGAGCTCGGCACCTCGCAGACACCTCTTGAGCCTGGCTGAACTTCAGAGCAGCCCCTACGCGGGCCACGGCCTGGGCTCCTGCACGCCACCCGCACACATTCTTTTTCCCTTAGGTTCCCGGTCACACTAGGGTTTGGAACACGGGCCCACATTAAGAACACCAGCTCTCCCTTTGTTTTCAAATGCTACCAAATGTATGAGAGATATGTACATTGCCACCAAAGTAAAAGGACTTCGGGGTCCCACTGCCTCGCAAGACACATCACCTCCAGCCACCAGGGGCTGAAGCTTGTGGAAGCTCAAGCTGAGGGAGTGAGACGCTTCACCTCATGCCCACCTGCAATTCCAGGTACAGGCAACCTCCTGCCTAAGCGTGTGCCGCACGTACACACACGCACGCACGCGAGACACGAGTGCTGAGGCCTCCCCAGCCAGCCCTTCCCAGGGGCCTTCAGGACCTGTCAAGCTTAACGGGAGGCAGACTGAGATTCAAGGCTATACGTTTTAGGGTCCACGGTGGCCCCACTCCAGTACATGTACTTTCTGACGCCCATGCATAGAAGAAACAGCCCCGAGATACTGCCCCCCTTTGAAGGGGCAATTTGGAGAAAGGTTGGAATGACCTGGCAGGGCACAATGCCATGTGCCCGAGTCAGCACTGCAGGACGCCGGGAAGACAGGCCAACACTGGGCCTTCCTGGTCCATGAGGCGCTCAGCAAGCCGGAGGCCAGCCTTTCCTCCGCAGGACATACTGATTCCCAAGATGAGGACTCAATTCCTTAAGTAATGCCTAATTAGAGGCCTAAACAAACAGAAAAAAAACCATGGTACAAATGACGCAATCCATCCCCTGCTCTTTGGACCTGTCATCTTTGACCCTTAACTACAGTACGTGGTAAGTCTGAGGCATCAGACCCACCTTTCCAGCCACATCTCAAACTAGCAAGGTCACTTCACGTCTCCAGCGGGTGGCTCGCAGCCTGAAAGGGCCCCAGTGCTGAGGGAAGACGACTGGTTGTGCTCAGGAGGGCGAGAGCCACCATCCATCCATCTTAGCGCATACACGGAGAGAGGCTGAGGACAGACCCTCTGGACCGGTCAACGGGATCTGTAGCAGGTGCACCCACATGGGCTGAGGCCCAAAGGACGCAGTGGTGAACAAGCAGGCAGGTCCCTATGAAGCTCCCACTCCCGATAAGACAGTTTACATCACTGTGACTGACCTGGTGACAACTGCTCCACAACGCGATCGTCTGAACTCAGCTTCAGAAAGCAGAGCTATCTGGCAAGACGACGACCAGAGAACAAAATATTTCAGGGTATCTACTTTCTGATGCCTGTGGAAGGGTGACTAGCAGACTGGCTTTTCAGCACAGCTCCTAGATCGTAGGTTAAAACTTTTGCCGAAATCTATTGTTCTATAAATAAGGCAAACAGCTTGCATTTACCCGGCCCAAAACGCTGATGAGAATGCATTCGGCTGAGTACTGCATATAAATATTTAAATAGAAGAATCCAAATGTCTCCAAAGTGCATTTTACTCAGCAGGACAGTAGACAGAAATACGGCATGTGACAAGGTTACTGTGCAGGGTAACGAGGCACCAAAAGCAGTTAGGAGCTGCCCGCACGTGTGGGCCCATCTCAACACTGCCAGCCCATAAGGCCTCTCCAGGTGGCGAGAGGGAAGGAGGGCGCTGAGCACACACCTGGGGTCAGGTGAAAGGCTCCACCACAAGTAGTGCTGGCGAGTGAGGTGCTCCTGACCCTCCCTGACGGACACACCAGCCAAACAGAGACCCGGGAGCCGGGCTGCCCACCACGGGGCGTTGGCCCGATCCTGCCCACGGCGGTCCCTTGGCGCACCGGCCACAGGCCAGGCTGGACGGCCCCAAATCCGGGGTGGGGGTGGGGGGCTGGAATCAGGGGCACACGGTTCCTGAGAAATGCAGACACGGTCTTTTCAAACGTCCAACTTGAGGATTCACGCCGCCTCTCATCACACACGTGTGTGTGCGTGTCCTTTCCACGGAAGCCTAAGGCGATCCAGACGTCTTTTCCAAATCTACCCGGAGGATCTGAGTGGCCCAGGGGACGAGCTCAGGAGGAGCGCCCGCCGTGTCCCCTCCACGTCGCGCCTTTAACCAGGCACCCAGTCCGGAACTTGGATGCGCAACATGTCCTCGGCCACCGCGCGGCCCGGCCCACGGGCTGGGCGGCCAGGGCTGCCTCGTCGCAAAGGGCACCGGGGTCGCGGGGGCCCCGCTCGGCCGCCCCCGCCGCCCACCCCGCCCGCACGCGCGCAGGACGAGGGGGCCGCACACCCGCCCGACGGCCTTTGTCTGTCTGCGGGTCACCGGCGCCGACAGCCGGGCGGCGAGGGTCTCGGCCGCGGCCTGACCGCTCCCCGGCGGCCCCGGGCGCACGATGGGCAGGTGCCCTCGGGGGCGGGCGGCGCGGGCCGGACCTCAGGAAGGCCAGAGGCGGGGTTCCCGGGGCGGGGGCCGGAGGGGCCGAGCGGATGCGGGGCTGGGGCGGCCCCGAGCCCGCGGGAGGGGCGCCTCACCAAGGTAGATGTCTCCGAAGGAGCCGCTGCCGATCTTCCGGCCCAGCCGGTACCTGTTCCCGACTCTGAGCTCCATGGCGGCGGCGGCGGGCCAGGCTCGCTCCTGCCCTCCCGGCCGCTTCCTGGGTCTGAGCTCGGGGAGGCGGCGCCGCTGCTGCCGCTACTGCGGGTTCGGCTGCCGGCTCCGCCCCCCTCACGGCCCCGCTTTCACCATCGCTTTCCGGCCGCGCCGCCGCTCCCAGCGCCTCAATAAGGGGCGGATGGGATAGTCCGAGCGCCGCCGCCCGTGCTCCGGCCCCCTTCGGCCCCGCTCGCCCTCTCCCCGTCGCGGATGGACTCGGATCTTCCGGGCCTAAATCCCCCTTCAGCTGCCTGAAAGAGCCGCCGCCATCGCGCTGTGACGTCACTTCCCCTAGCAACCCGGAGGGGCGGGGCCGCGCTGCTGGGGGCGGGGCCGCGCTGCCGGGGGGCGGGGCGGGGCGGGGCGGGCGCGCTCGGACGTCCTCGGGAACCCGGAACGCCGGGGTCAGCCCCATATTCTCTGTGGGCGGGAGCCCCCGCCGCTGCTCTGGGTCGGGAGCTCTCACCAGGCTCCACGTTTGCCTCCGCGGGTGTCTGGGAAGCCAGCGGCTCCTGGCGACAGGCCCGCAGGCAGCGCCCTCGGACTCTCCAGGGCCTTCCGCCCTGGGTCGGTGCCCGGAGGGAGTGACACTGGCCGAGCCACAGGGGACATAGGTGTTCACGGCCCTTTTGGCCGACCAGGACTTGCAGCACGGCCTGCTCCTGCCCCCGACGTCCTGTCCTGCACACTCAAACCTAGGGCGGAGGAAGGGCACGTCCTCAGGTCTGGCGTCAGACCCGAAGGATGAAGGTGAAGCTTGCCAGGGTTTCAAAGGGTGAGGCCCCGACCATCCTCCTGGAGACTCAATCAACATTGTTATCTAATCTGTGTTGGGTATGAAAGTTCTTTGCAAAAGAAAGCTGGAACGTTGAAGTTCAGGCTGAAGGCCAGCTTCCAAGATCTGGACTCCACTCCAGTCACTGGGAAGGGAGTCTGGGAGAGGCCCCTGGATTGAGAAGAAAGGACTTTCATATCGACACTTCTCTAGGTCTATCCTCAATCTCAGCTAAAAGGAGCAACCGTAAAACAGGCTGATAACATATATTTTTCGACATCTAACAAACATACTACTGTGTGTGCAGGGGTTACAAGAGGTGTGAGCTAAAGCAGCAGGAGCCGACCGTCAGGACCAGGGCCCTCCTGTGGCACATGCAGGGCTGGCCTCTCCCCTCTCCACCACTCAGCCTCAGGAATGCAGCCATTGTCCGAAATATTCAGAGGTCCGGTTGGAGAGGCTGGCATCGATTCCTGAGCAGTCCATGGTAGTACCCAGAGACAGGAGAGGCCATGAGGCAAGCTGATGATGGTGGGCAATCGGAAACGCCCCTGTCCATGCCCAGTGGTTGCCTAGTGTTTCAGGCTTATGGGGTGGGGGTAGGCTTTGGAAAACTAGTAAAATAGCCATGTTGGCAGAACTGATGATGGGCAGTGCCTGCGTTCCCTACCAGAGAAAGCCACAAGGGCAAACAGGAACCAGAAAGGGACCTGGAGCCTGCTCCCTGGAAATAACAAATCGGCCACTCCCTGAGCTGCCCCTGCTGATTGCTGGCCTGCAGTCCCCTCCTGGGGCCTCAGTGTCCTCTCTCAAAAAGAAGTGGCAGCTCTTTGGACAGCCCCGGGCCCCAGGTTTCTGCCTGCTTCACCTGTTTATTCACAGAATTGGTCAGGATAACCAGCCAACATGTAATTGGTCACACATGAACTCTCCAGAACCTTCTGTGACTCCCCACGGTTTCAACAAGAAGTTAAACTCTCTTGTCTGATCAGAGCTCGTCCCCAAAAACTGGTCTCACTGCCCCCCAGCCCGCTGTCCACAGCCTGCTGTCCACAACATGGCCATTGAGATGGTTGTAGGGCTCACATCCCATGCAAGTCCTGCCTGCTTAAAACTGGCCTGAGTCGAACCCTCGTACTGGAGGGATGTAAAACAATGCAGCCACTTTGGAAAGCAGTATGGGGTTCCTCAAGAGGTAAAGGCAGAGTTTCCGTGTGACCCAGAAGTTACATTCCCAGATGTGTACCCAGGAGAACTGAAGACATCTGTCCACAGAGAAATTTGTGCACAAATGTTCAGAGCAGTGTTTTATTATTTATCATATGTAATCATCTTTTTACAGCCCAAATATCCATAATGGATGAATGGATAAACGCTATGTGGTCCATCCATACAGTGGAGTAATTATTATTATTATTATATTTTTAAGATTTTTATTGGGGAATTGGGGGAGGGGAACAGCAGAACTGGGGAATTGGGGGAAGGGGAACAGACAAGTTGCTGCCGTTTTGTTCTTCAGTCTAGTTGTGGAGGACGTTGCTTCACTGGCCCATGTTGGCACCATCCTTGCGCTCTTCCCGGGCGAGGCAGATCAGTCGCCGGCTTCTGGACGGCCGCTCACTGCGGCTGCTGGCCGCTCACGCTGGCTGCTGGCTACACATGGTAGCCCATGACAACCCACTGCCACAGGGGCTGCAGCCTACGCCGTCGCCGGTGACTCATAGCAGCCCAGCTCCAGGTTGAGCTGTCGTCAGTGGAGTAATTATTACTCAACCATGAAAAGGAAGAAGCTCTGATGCCTGAACGTGGATGGACCCTGAAACGCTGAAGAAGCCAGATTCAAGGAGCAACGTGCTCTTTGATTCTGTTTATACAAAATGTCCAGAACAGGCAAATCCACAGACCAGGAAGCGGATTAGGGCTGGGGAGCAGGCTGGGGGAGACGCTGATGGGCATGGGAGTCCCTCTTTGGGGAGGACAAAAACACTTCAGAACTGGGTAGTAGATGAGTGCACAGCATCATGAATGGACAAAAAGCCACTGAACTGTACACTTTCAAACAGTTAAAATGGGGAATTTTATCTCAATTTTAAAAAACTATGGATCAGCCTCTGGGAACTGAACCCAGATTCCGTGGTGGGGTTTGGAGGGTCCCCACCGTCCCACAGGAATGATGACAGTTCCCTGAATGCATTAGTGTCTCTGCTCAGGACCACTGCAAATGCTGCACCTGTAATGTGTTTGCCCCCCCACACCTTTGTCCAGCTAACTTCCCCGTCTTCCGCCTCCCCATGAAGGACACTGCAAAAGTAACAGCCAGGACTGCACAGGAGGGGAAGAGCCACTACCTTTACAGGCCTTGGCTGAGAGGCTGGGCCGGGGTGGGGGGGTCAGGTGCCCAAGTTTCAATTCCTGCTCTCCCTCCAGCTGTGCAACCTTGTGCCAGTAACTCAACCTCTCTGTGCTTCTGTGCTGTCGTCTGTGAAACAGGAATAATAAGAGCACCAAACCCTAGGGCTGTGGAGAAGGTTGACAGGATTACCATGTGCACAGTTCAGAGCAGGACCTGGAAACAAGTTACTGCTGTATAAATATTAGCTGTTTATATTAACTACTGTTTACTTGGAAAACGCGCCATTACGCAGGCAGCAGTGGTGACGTTTGCCAGCAGAGCAGCTGATGGTGCCCAGACTGGACAGTTGCCTCCCACTCAGACCCACGGGCGAGTCAGGACCTGTGCCTGCGCCAATGGGGGACCAGCACTAACGATTATCCCCATTTAATTAACAAAATTCACCCACTGAGCTCCGGTCTGGGGGAGTTAGGATGGACACGCCAACCATCACAGAGGGAACAGCAGTTGCCAGCTGGGCCAGGACTGTGGAGGACCAGAAGGGCCGCAGGCCACACCACACGGAGGCACCAGGCGGCGGTGTGTGGCTTCCAGCAGCTTCCGTGGGGAGGTAACAGTCGCCTGAGATCTGAAGGAGGAGGAATGACCTTGGCCTGGGGGAGGAGGATCGCAGGGAGGGCCTGCGGTGGGACCTGGGGGTGGGGGTGGGGGTGGGGTCTCCCAGCGGTGAGAGGCATCACGTGTGTGCGCATGCGCACGTACGCACGGGACACACATAGCTAGCGCCCAGCCACTGGTCGAGGAAAACTCTGGAAAGTGCCAGGGTCACCAGCGCTTGGGCTCTGACTGGACAGAGGCACTCATAGGAGCCAGAAAGAGCAGCCTTTCAGGTGTGCGGCGCTCCGTGTAAACACATGACTGGTGGAGCAGATGTGTGAGCCCCGACCCACTCCAGGTGTTCCTGGAGCCTGCCTGCTGTCACCCACACCCACGGACTTAAGAGTGGCCCCAAAAGGGGGTGTCCAGCCCTTTTCCCGGCATGGAAGCAGGTCCTTGCAGCCTCTTTGGGAAGTCCGAGGGAGGCAAGCCTTTGTCTCCCAATCCTGCTCCAAATGCCTGGAAGGATCTGTCTGTGACTCCATGGAACCCTTCCCTCAGGAGGCCTTTCTCCTGGCCGCATCACTTTTCACCTCTGCCCTTCAGGGGTCACGGTCCCTGGCCCAGCCCAGAGTCCCACCATCCTCCTCCACCATCATCTCCTGCCAGGTGGGGTGGGGCTGACCTCCAGATCTGCTCCTGCTCCCCGCCCTCCCCACCCACGCCCTTCTCCAGAGAGCCCCTTCTTGTGGCCCTGGGGATGGGCAGGGCTGTAGACACTGCCATCCTAGGTGCCAGGGACAGCGGCCCACAGGCGGGGGCTCATGCCTGCATGACTGGAACATCAGGATGGAGGACATGGGTGAAGGAAATCGGGGTGACCCCTAGGTCTCTGTCCCCAATCCCTGGCCGTGGGGTGGTCTTGTCTCTCTCTTGACCCACCCGGGGTACCCTGAGGCCTGGCTGCTGAGAGACCTCAGTCCACAGGCGGCCTTCGAGCTCAGACCCCTGACCACCCTCAGACCCCTGCGTCTCTGCTGTGCTGTGTGACTGGCAGTGAGTCACCAGTGAGCTTCTCCTGGCCCCACCGCCTGCCAGGGCCCCTGCCTTCTCCAGGTGAGCAGGGCCTCTGTACATGCCATCCAGTGAGCTGGCAGCTATGGGAACCTCCCCAGCACCCCTTCCCCTGAGGCCTCACAGGTCTGCCCACCCCAGGAAGGCTTGGGGCTCCTGCCACACAGTCAGAGGGCCCGGCAAACAGTCCTTGACCAGGTGGGGGCTGGGGTTTCTGTTGATAGAAAGGAACCCCCAGCAGCCTTCTCCCACCAACTCAGCTGGCACGGTGTGATCTGGTCAAGTGACCCAGGCCTGGCCAGCCTCAAGCATGTTCTCTCAGGAGGCCTCTAGAAGGGTTGTCCTGGTGCTGAGGCAGGAGTTGAGGGTTCCAGGGTCAAGTCAGGGCAGGTTTGGGATGCTCTCAAACGGGGCTCAGACACGGGCCTGGGAGTGGGGGGCAGCAGAGGAGGTGGCTGTGCTGGCCAATACCGTGATGGTGTTAGGAGGTGGGGCCT